GCACGAGTAGTAGAAAACATCGAGATTGCACATCGCATTGCAAAAGAGAATATACAGCGCGCTCAGCAGCGCATGAAAGATTATCATGATGTCCACGCCGTTCCTATCAGGCATCAAGTTGGTGACAGTGTCTGGGTTTACACGCCGCGCAATCGGAAGGGGTTATCTAAGAAGTTAGCCCATAATTGGCATGGACCTTACAAGATTGTTGAATTCTTGTCCCCAGTTCATTGTATCTTACGGGCCACCGACAACCGCCGTGTCTCCACTACCGTCCACGTTTCTCGTCTCAAGCGTTACGTTTCACCGGATTCGCGCCCTATTCGCCAACCACCAGAGCTTGCTGAAGAATCTTATTTGGCTGAGAATGATTTACCGTCGGACAGCTTTGTAACGGACAACAATGAAGTGCTTCCTGAATCTCCCACCCCTGACCAAGAGGTTAACACTGGACAACCAGCACCAGACACCGACGAATGTGCGACTGGCCCCTCTCCTATTCTTCAGGAAACTCGTCCCCAGGCTGCTCCTCTCACTCGTTCGCAAAACTCCGAAACCAGGAACCCCATTCCCTCGGCGTTACAAGCTCAGGAGGCTGATTCTCCACGCTTATCCAGCGACCCTACCCCAGTTCCAGACGACGTCTACCAAGTTGAGAAGTTGCTCAAACAAAGGATGAAAGATGGAGAACACCAGTTCTTGATTAAATGGCTAGGATTTCCGTCGAGTCAAAACTCTTGGGAACCGGCTGACAACATTCTGGACAAGCGCTTGATCATGACCTTCTACAAGAACCATCCGCGTGCTAATCGCTTCCAGGATTCAAACTTTCATGCACGAATAGCACCTTTGCTATGTCCAGTTAGACGAGACGTCCTCTACGATTATGGCTCAATTCCTCGATGTGATAGTGACCGTCGATGGTTTCCAGCATGGAGAGGATGAATTTACGCTCAAAGCCATGGCCGTCGTCGCTCCTTCAGTTACATTCCAGTGGTCAAATGTATACCACACTGCGTTCCTGGAAGACCGCCCGTGGGGCCATCTCCAAACTTATCGCACCCAAACTGACCATCATGGCCTAGCAATTGGGACTCCCGGAGCCGCGCAGTACACGGCGCCAGATCATCTGCGCTGGGCTCTGTGCCGAGCACAGGTAGCGTACCTCCAACAACGACGTCTCCCGTCTCCGCTAGTCCGGATCTGGACGAAGGGGCTCCCCAACGCGTGTTTTATCGCGACGTTGCTGCCACAGTACGCGCCTGAAGTTAGAAACCTCGAGGACATCGGCTGTCCGGCCTTCCGGAGGCTGTTGAGCGGACAAGACGACCAAACAACTCCGGACACGCTGTTAAAGGCCCTGTCCCTGGCTGCTTGGGTCGAAGCCCACCATTCCCGCAAACACCCGTAGGCTGTGACGTCTTCTTGTACCTATTTAATTTTTATAACTAACAATGCACCGTCTTTCAGTTTTTTTCTTCTCTCGTTATGTATTAACTTATTAGCTTAATTACCTTTTGTAATTGCTTGTTGCTTAATTTGAACCCCTGAGGCCATTATATTTCCGCTTGTTCGGTTTATGCCGCGGTTCAGGCACAAACAAAATCAAATACAAAATTCATAAAACAAACAAAAAAAAAAAACCACCCCTATAGTTTTACTTCGCTGTGCTTTTTCGTTTCTCACATTTATTATGCCTTCTCCTTTTTTCGCTCGACCAGGAGGTCTCGATTTAAGGTGGGAGGAATGTAACGATAGGATTTTTAGTTATCGAGTTCTTTCATGCTTGCGCTTCAAAAATACAATATTCAACGTAGAAAGCTTAGATCAGCAAAGCGTAAACGCTACCAGTTCTCCTTTAGTCACCCGTAAACAGTTGTTGTTAGTGTTAAACTGTAACAGCCACCTGTCATGTCTTTTTGTGTAACTGTTATCCACCGGAACTCTTTAAAAGTAATCAATGTTGTAAAAGGCGAAATTCCTACTTAGCCAATAGTGTAGTAGATTACATGATCCTGTAGATTATTCATGGCATTACGTTATCCATGTACGTTAGGTTTAAATAGGACTGTTCTGTAAAGCTTAGGGGGTGAGAAAGTTAGGGAGTAGAACGGGGTCGAACCAGCCCTGGCCAGGTCCGTTCTGGTCAAAATTGTAGTCGAGCTTGCAGAATAAATCTACGTTGGAGCCAACCCTGTTGTTGTTAGTCATTCTCTCAAGGATAGTCAGCAACCGTAATAGATTCCGGTTACCTTCCCGCAGCCAGCGAGTGCCCCCAAGGAAAGCCTTTACCCAGAAAGAGTTTTTAAGAGTTGTCCCAGTCCGTCCGTTCATTTGTGAAGGCAAAACCTTGTTTTCACACCTGTTCGTTAAATTCAAGGCCTTTCTCGATGAGATGGAGCTCCCTTTCTTCTTTCAGAGTGTAGTCGCTGGTACCAGGAGCGCATTTGCAGCCTCCGCAGCGCGGCGTGCAGCTAACACCTAATCTCTCGATATTGTAGAAGTTGTCAATTTTGACTGCTTTTAGGTGGTTTGCACATGCGTCGAATGCTGATTTGTGGTTCTACTCCCGAATGGAAGGGTGTGTCTCGCCTATACATCGTCCAAAACGATTCTTCAATAACATTAGGTGTTCGACATTTCTTTCTTTTACCGGGTGGAAGTCTGCGTAATCATACCCAATGAGGACGTCAACGGCGCCTTTCGGCCGAGTCACGTCGCCCCTTTGTATCTTGAGAGTGTCAAGTGCCTTATCCATGTTAACACTTTGAATGTCGGTGGTAATTTTGTCTATTTCGCAAACTTCCACAAGCGTCGTTTCGCCCTTGAGGTCAATGAGCGGCAATTTGTATTTTCTGGAACTTATCTTCTCTTCCTTCCCTCCCACCTTCACGAGAGAGATTTCAAGTGGTGTTCCGCGCAGTCTTTCTTTCCGTGCTTTGTCGCGGGTTATGAGGCTAATGGATGATGGGTTGTCCCACAAGACGTTTGCATGTCCTCTAGAAGTTTTTATTTGTTGTAACTGGAGGATGCAGGTCTCATTACCCCCATGGCTGCATGCACTGGATATTGCGGGTTTCGAATGGAGTCTCTGTCTGATCTTCTTCATGTAATGTGGGATGATGTTTCTTCTTACATTCATTGACGCCGCAATCCTTTTTAGAGCGGCAATTGCGTGATCAGTGACCGGTTCTGAGGCAGGAAAAACACGCACCTTTTTCTTTCAATGTTGATAGTCTTTCGTTTACTGTTTTATCGAGGTATACTCTACAATCCTTGGTAAGATGATTCAAGTGTTTTCGTGAACGACGCACTTGCTGTAAGTTCTCTGGCTGCGGCTGTCGTGTCTTTCATCCGCTGTGGCGTAATGGACAACTGCCTTCGTTATGGCTGGGCCCTGCGCGCGAAGATCAGAATCGTCGTACTCGATAGCGCGTTTTTGCGTAAGTAAAAATTTGAGCAGGCTCGGAAACTTGTTGGTTTTGTCCACAGTGCTGTCGTCAGAATTTAATAGTTTAGCCCATTCTTTGCGTACGTCTGGCGGGAGTTTTCTCTCTATGATGCTTACTGAGCTCGTTGTGGTTATTTCTGCTTCCAAGCCAAGTCTCTTAAGGTCACGATATCCGTCTTCTATGATTCCTACCAGCTCCATGAATCGCTTGTTTTCGCCTTCGCGGATGGATCTTACGCGTCTTATCTCATTAATTATCACGTCCGCGACTTTCGCTGGGTCCCCGTATTTTTCGTCGAGTCGCTTCCACATCTCGTAAACGTCATCGTCGACGCTCTTTACGTGAGCTAAAGGTTCTTTTCCGAGACAGGAACGCAACGTGTAGGATAATGTATCTTCCGTAAGGTGCGGCATGACTTGTTTCTGGAAGTCTCTTTTGAAGGATGGATATTCTCTCAACTCTCCTTCAAATCGGGGCTTTTTGATTTTCTCTAGTTGTATGTGATTGCTCTTTTCTCCTTTGATCTGCGGCTGCAGTTCGCGTTCATGTTCGCATACGAGGTGTGTTTCGAGTTTAGCGTTCATCTCGTTATACATCGCTTGAGTAGCTTGGAGCCATTTAATTTCATTGGCTGCAGATTCTTGCATAGATAAATCAACTAGCGCGCTATTCGCTAGTTTGCATTCCGCGAAAGCTTTGTCAATCTGTTTCTGAAGTTTCTTCGCCGTAGACGGCTCTACTTTGTCCGCGCTGAGTGTGTGCGAAGCGCTTTGACAAGCTGTTTCAAATATGGCTCGCGCTGTTTCTCGTCTGATCATTGCTTGATCAAAGAATCATTCCATTTGCTCGCGTTCTTTGTTCGCCTTATCCCTTTGTTCCGTTTCTGCGCGCGCTCTCATTTGCACGTCCGCTATGTGGTTAATAAAGTTAATCTTAGCTTTTGTCGCTTCGGTGAACTCCTCCTGGACTTTGTTGATCCATATTTCGGCGGCTTCTAGCTCGGCGTCGTCTGATAAAAGCATCGCGTAGAGATCGTGCTTTGTTTCCAGGACGTTCCATGCTTCCAGGAATTGAGCGTAGTTGTTTTCCACGAGTTCGTGATTGCTGGCTGATGAGATGGACTTCAGGAGTTCGTTCCTTTTTCTGGTGAATCTTGATTTGGCGATTAACTTGATTAATTTTCAAGTTAATTGCACGTGGCCTATAAACGACAAAAATGCACTTTCATTAAGTTAATAAAGGTCCAGTTATTTATTTGGAAAGCACACAAAGCTCCGTGCCAATGATTCTTTTTTATTTATTTATTTATTTTTTCATCCTAATACAAGGCCATTTAAAACCTCGGCGCAGAAGGTGAGAAATCTCTCTAAGAAGCTTTCACAGTTACCACACCCTTTTGTAACATATATGTCACTCTCCTTTTCTGGTGGAGGTGTCAAAATCTACTGTGGAACTGACCAGCACATCATTTATCCATATCTTCAATCTTACGAGAGTGGTCACTGGAGTATAAACATGGCGAGTGGTAATGCCAGGCGTGCGCGAACTATGAAACGCACTTTCATCTTGCTACGCTGGGCCGATCGGTTGCGCGTTCCGCGAGCGGCCGACTTTGCATCACTAGAGTCGGGTGGCCGTGTGAAAGAGATAACGTTCAGTAACAATTCGACCATGGCGCATATTGCTGATATGCTCAAACATAATTTCCATCAGCTAAACACGGATGAAGAGATTTCAAGGTAAGACGATTATACTAATTCTATGACAACCGTCATTTATCGTTACTTTTAGTGAGTGCCAGCTATTTTTTTTTTTCAGATTGCAGTTTTACAAAGCGTTAGGCTCCACAAATATTCTAACACGGGTTGGCACGGCGCCTGATATTTGTGGTGACACGTTTAAAAACGTCTACCGAAATAGAAGTAGGGTATATATGCGGCCATCAATAGGTAGGATAACTTAGTCGTCAATCAGACGTAGCCGCATTTTCGAAAGTATGCAATAGAATTTGCTGGGCTTATCTTTGACACAGCTTCGCCTATCGCTAATTCAGTTTCATCAGCCGTTAAAGATGAATTTTGTTTCAGATAGCACTTTACTTGGTGAAAGCAAAACTCGCAAGTGTTTAGATGGGGAGAGTAAGCGGGCTGGAAAAGCAGGTGAACACCATGTTCATTAAGAATGTCACGTAATACTGCCTCTGTAAAATGTCCGTGATAGAACCCGCAGTTGTCCATTATAACTACGTCGCCATTCTCCAGAATTGTCGAACCATCTACCCTATTTATTGACAGAGCTTCATTGAAGAAATTCAGCAGGTCCATGCCATTAGATGGGCCTCTCAAAACATCAAAGTAATCCACTCCGTTTGCAGAGTGAAGCAATTTGAGTGTATAATTAGCGTTCGATGCGTATCGCTGAATTTCAATCGCTGGTTCGCCGATGTAGGAATTGCCATACACGCAATTTCCCGAAGTTACAATTACACTACATTTCTCAAAAAAAATGAAGTTTTGTATAGTCGTGATGTGTAATTTGATTAAGATAAAAATCGGTGTATTCAGTATTTTCTTGTGACAATGATTCTTTAGGCACATGGGAAACCTTTTTCTTTGTCATTCTGCAGTCTTCCCGAATGCACTTTTTTAATTGCAGACGTGGATGGTAATTGACCAGGAGGAGAAACTCCATCTAATAACAAACGCTGTTGAAGTTCACTTGTATACATACTAGGTTTGCATAATTTCTCAGACTCCAAATATTCAACAACATAGGCTGACATTTTTTTCCGCACCGGTGTTCTCCGTGGCGCAGCCAGCGACGAGTTGTTGTTTTCGTAAAACTGTACGACTTTGTTGACGTATCCGACGCTAACTCGCATGTTTTGCGAAATTTGCCTTTGCGAGAAACCTTGATGGTGTAGATCAAGCACTCTTTCACGGTAAACTTGTGGCAGTACTTTGCCATTGTCGTAGATCCCTTGATGTCGATTGACGGCTAGTTTGCACTCACCTTTGCAGAACAACAACAAAAAACCTGCTGACATGAAAAACTAACATCGTATTTTCCCGCCACCGCTGTGTTTGGACAGCGCCAAAAAACACGAATCCTTTTGTTTGAATGGAGAACTCTCATTGGATAATCCGTCAAAAATGCATTAAAAAGCGCTCAAGTGTTCACGGTTCGAGTGCCCTTACTGTAACTGCTGTATTTCCTGAAAAATCACAATTTTGAGCACACTTTCATTTAGCACAACCTTATTTCCCTACAAAAAAAAATTATATCAGCTAGAGACCATCTCTTCTGCATTCTAAGTAAAAAAGGTCATTTGATTTGTGATAAAGGTAGTAGGGTAAATTATTTTTTGAAGTTTACTAGTTATTGCTGCTCAAGTAGATGCTATACAAGCTATGGAAAAGTGCATTGACGCGGTGAGGAAATGGATGATTCAAGATCGGTTGATGATCAATGATGATAAAACGGAGTTTTTGTTAGTCGGCACACGACAACAGCTTGATAAATTAGATTCGTGTTCCATAACTGTGGGCAATTATCGTATCAGTCCAAGCCCATGTGTTAGAAATCTTGGATCCTGGTTTGACAGCAACTTAAGCATGACTGATCATATAAACAAGGCTTGTAATGCGGCATTTTATCATTTACATAACTTGAGACGTATTAAGAAATACCTGTCGAGAGATTCTTTGATTACTTTGGCTCAGGCTTTTATAACCAGCCGTCTTGACTATTGTAATGGTTTATTGTTTGACTTACCAAATGTGCAGATCGCTAAATTACAGCGTGTACAAAATGCAGCAGCAAGACTTATTTTTGGCTTTGGAAAGTTTTCTCACATTTCACCGGCGCTTTATGAGCTGCACTGGCTGCCAGTTTCTTTGCGTATTGACTATAAGATTTTACTTTTGACTTTCAAATATATTTATGTCCTAGCGCCAACTTATCTTAGCGATCTTATTAGTATAAAATCGAATTCATTATATAATCTTAGGTCTACTGGTAAGCTCTTATTGGACCATCCCAAGGGAAAGATGCTTACAACATTGGGAGCAAGATCATTCTCAGCAGCAGCTCCGAAACTCTGGAATGGGGAATATATATAACGGCGTAATATGCGACTAACACAGTCTATATACTGTAAGATTTTACGCCACTAACCCAGTCGGTGATTAAATTATAATAAATTAAAATATAATTAATTTATACTACTGGCGTAAAATTTTGGAGAATGTCCCCCTTTCCTCCAGTTCTCTCCAAGTCACAATATCTTTTAAAGTTATTTATTTTCTCACTACCCGATCACATTGAGTACAACTCTCTAACTCGTCAATTTACGCGATTGTACATTCTTATATCAGCTCTAGTCTTAGTATTTTGGTTACACAGGAATTTCCGGTCATTGTTGACTCTTACTGGTTCAATCGCATGTACAATACAATGGTGTCAAGTTCGCCACGCCCTATAGTCACGCGACTTGATAACAATACGTTTCCGACACTCTCCCCTCATATGGTTCGCTATCGAAGCATATGTCATAATATTTAAACCTATTTGAATCATGCGAGCGGTAACAAAACGATAATCAGTATAAAACTTTCCTCGATCAACATTACTTCCTATAAACGATTTCAGTGTTCACAGTTCAGGCCTTATACTGATGTTCTCAAAACAAAATAATTATTTGTCCACTTCTCATGGATCAGTTTTCACGAAGCACTAATTACTGTTCGCATCTCACATTGTTAATCTTCCACAACTTGTTTGATTTACTGTTCATAGTTCACATTGTTCAACATCTGCAACTTGTTTCATTTGCAACCTTGCTGCTGCTGCTGCGTCTCTTCTAGGGCAGAAATCCTGAGCCTGTGGGTTTAAGCGTGGATCTGCCACTTGAGTGCTGACGTCACACTCAAGTTCCAATGGGTACAAATGTTGTACTGGTCGTTCCAGCATGCTTTTGGCAGTTTTAAGTTGGACTGCGCGTATGACGCCGTCATTGCCAGGGTAAACTTCATTCACTATGGCCAGCGGCCATGTTCCACGATTCTTGCTGTCAGTTTTCACTATGACGATGTCTCCTTTCTTAGGTTGGAACTTGCTCACTGTGTGCATCAGGTTGTGTCTTTCTCTTAGTGCTGTAAGGTATTCTCTTTGCCATCGACTCCACATTTTGTCCTTACAGGTTCGCAAATACTTTGCACGTCTCCTGATGTCTTCGTCTGTTATCCTCCAGGTCTCCTCTTCTGGTAACTGGTTTGTTCGCTGGTACAAGAAGGTTGAAGGCGTTAAGATTGGTAACTCGACGTCATCTTCCGCATAGCTCAATGGACGGCGATTAATCTGCGTTTCAACGTCGAGTAGCACCTCACTTAGCTCAGGCCAGGTTAGAGTAGCTCCCCCAATAGTTTTGTACAGGGAGGATTTCACGACTCCAATTAATCTCTCGAACTGACCCCCCCACCAAGGGGCGCGGCTCAAGTTGAATTTCCAGGTAATTTCGTGTTGTTCAAGAAGACCCTGGAGACGCTCATCCTTCCGTAACTGTCGTAGCCATTTCTTGGCTTTGATGAAGGTACCGCCATTATCTGAGTAGATGACCCGTGGTCGTCCGCGACGAGCGATGAAACGCTTGAGACAAGTAATGAAGTTGTCTGTCTCCAGGCTGGCCATTAACTCTAGGTGTATAGCCCTTGAAAGGCTGCAAGTGAAGATAGCCAGATAGGAGTTTCCTTGACTTCTCTTTCCCTGTTTGTACTTCACTGGTCCAGCGAAATCTGTGCCGATGATTTCAAATGCCGCGCTGACTGTGGTCCAATCTTCCGGTAACTGACCAGGAATTGGGTTTCTTGCTGGAGTTGCATTGAATCTCTTACAACCATAGCACTTGCTTCGGACCGACTTGACCAAACTTCGAAGTTTCGGTACCCAGTACCTCTCTCTTACTGCTGCCATTGTCAGCGGGACTCCCCCATGCAGTGTCTCGCAATGAACTTGTTGGACCAGTTTTTCTGTAAACTTTTCACTGTTGGGTAGGTATATCGGAGTTTGCCCCTGTATCCGGCCGTGGCATGTCATCACTCCCTCTGCATTGGGTTTCAGGTTAAGTTGACCGCTAATCTGAGGGTAACCCGTGGTTTCTCTGTCTCGCCGTTGGACTCGCTTAATCCATCATCCACGTACATCTTCTATTTCTTCAGTTAGTAGAGGCCCGAGTTTCTTGTCTTTATGTTTGCAGTTATGAATGAATCTCTTTAGCCACGCACCGACTCTCAAGGTCCGTCGCAAACTAGTGCGTTCCAGGAGTTCATCGAATTTGTCTGGTTCTGATTTGGTTTGTGCTAGGTTGAGCACTTCCCTAATGACTTTGGCCTCAACTTCTGATGCTGGTGAGGATCGAGTGACTGGGTTGATTGGCCACTTGGAGTTGTCTTGAAGCCACTCCGGTCCCTGTTGCCAAAGTGCTGAGTGTACTGGGGCGCCTCTGCTCACCAGGTCTGCTGGGTTTTCATCAGTGGGCACGTACCTCCACTCAACCTCATTCTGTAGTTGTATCTTGGCAACTCGATTCGGGACAAACTGTTTATACTTGCCATTTCCCTTGATCCAATGAAGTGCGACGGTGCTGTCTAACCATCTGAACATCTTTGGGGAGGGAACGTTGTCTAGGGCGTTGCGTACGTTTACTACTAGATTGGTAGCCATGTGCGCTGCAATCAACTCTAGGCGCGGAATACTCAGTCCCTATTTGGCAAGTCGACTCTTGGCGACCACTAATCATTGAGTGTTGCCTGATGGTTGACGTACAACTGCATAAACTGCCGCTCCTACTCCTCGTTCTGACGCGTCCCCAAAAGAGTGTAGTTCCACTTCTTGTAATGCTTCTTGATAACTTGCTATCGATCGCGGTACTTGCTGTTCACGAGGTAATTGTTGCTCCCATTTTTC